ACACCACACACACACACACATAGATTTCATATATATATATCTATATATATATATATATGTATATCTAATATATAGGGGTGCAACGATACACAAAATTCAGTTCGGTTCGATACTTTGGTGTCACGGTTCGATATTTTTTCGATACAAAAAATGTTCATGCCTTTTTAATTTGTCATTTATTAAAATTATAATATATATTTTAACTCAAAAGTACAGTTTTTAAATTTAACCCTAACCCTTGTGCGTGTTTTTTATTTTGACAGCGATTGACAGAGAAATGTCTCTTTCCAAAATAAAAGCTATACTATACGCTTCTTCTGGGCTATATTCTCAGCAGCATATTAAACATATCAGGTCCCCATAAGGAGAATCATGTGCTAACGGCTGTCTAAATGACTCTGGTAAAGTTTGTAGCATGCGTGCTTGTTGTTTTTGTCTGCTTCCACTTGTCTTTGCACTAGGATGATGTTGGCGTAAATGTGCAGTCATATTCATTGTGTTCCCACTAGTGCTGTCAGCGTTAATCTCGTTGAAATGACCTTAACGCCACAACACGGCAAATCTCCGTTAACGAACTACCGCGGATCGCCCGTGCATGGGGCTAGACGGCCAACACGTTAACGAGCTAACTGCGCTAACACACTAGTTCCCACCTATTTAATTGAGCATTGCGTGGCACCAGAGATGGGCAATCTGTAATCTGATTACTTTTTTCAAGTAACGAGTAAAGTAAGGGATTACTATTGCAAAAACGGTAATTAGATTACCGTTACTTTCCCGTAGGAACGCTGCGTTACTGCGTTACTAAAACCGTGATTTTTTGCGAGAATGTCTCATGACAGTGACGTAAGCGAGTGCGACGTTCGTGACAACAGCTGTGTGCAGATCAACAATGGATCACATATCGAGTGCGGGAGAGAGTATGAGCGTGCAGCGTTTAAAGCGTGGAAGTACTGACCTTACTTTGAGTTTGATTCCATAAAAAGTGACAAAAACATTGGCGTCCATTGTGCGTGGGAAGAAAACTTCTTTTTACAGCGAAAAAAACCCTTAAACTTCCAAGCAAGCACCGAGTGCGCTACGACTTAAGAGAAACTCGCGGATTCTTCAACTGACCGCGGCACACCTGCACCAGGGTAAACCTCCGCCTACCCCCCTGCTTTACAGGTGAAAATAGAGCAACAGGACCGCTGAGTCTTTGACTTTATTTATTTTCTGCTGTGTTTTACTTGCATCTATTTGAAAGAGTGAGTGTAAACACAAAAAATATTTTATTTTATGTGCTGGAATGTGCAGAAAATAGGTTTAAATGTTAAACTAATTTATTCAGTCAGAGAATGTTGCATATAATTAAATTTTTGCTTGATGCATAAAGTTAAAAGATTAAAACTGATAAAACAAGTTTAAAAAAGAGACTTTTCCATTTGATTACATTTTGTATGATGGATTATGCAGAAAAAGTAGAATTGGGCTGAAAGATCTATCGCTTTATCACCTCTTCAGGTTGTAAATCGTGTTTTTAAAAAGTAACTAAGTAACTAAGTAATTAATTACTTTGAAAATAAGTAATCAGTAAAGTAACGGGATTACTTTTTTGGGGAAGTAATCAGTAATTAGTTACTGATTACTTTTTTCAAGTAACTTGACCAACACTGCGTGGCACATCCAACATACTGTTTTACTTTAGTTCATGACTAACTTACCTTCAGGGTCATACGTCACATGAAAACCAAAATAATTCCAAACGCCAGATCTGAATGAGGTCCATGTTGCAAGGAGAGCTTAACTTCTGTCTCGCTAGCTTGCCCTGCGCTCTTCCTTCTGACTATGCTGTCTGTGTTGAGCGCTCAGTGGATCTGCGCTCGACAGTGCAGCCTAGGCGGAGTAGTCGAACGCAGATTCACTGAGCGCGCAACACAGACAGCATCGTCAGAAGGAAAGTTGATAAAATAAATTACAAATGTTGTATTGTTCGATACATATGCGTACCGAACCGAAAGCACTGTATCGAACGGTTCAATATCGATACATTGTTGCACCCCTAATTATAATTATGCGTCTCTAAAAAAAAAAAGCTAAGTGCGCTCTGTGATACTTAAAACCCTCTAAGTAATCAGGTCCTCACCAGGTTTTAAAATGGGGCCAATACAAGAACAAAACTCTGCACATTACACTGTGTTATTATTTAGGTGTGAGGAAACCTAAGAACGCATTTACAGTACCAGACAAAGCATACTATGACCTCATAGGAGAGTAATCCTAAGCACATCAACAAGAAAGCAAAAAAAAAAAAAAAAACACAAAACATTAATAATCTAATCAAATCTACAATAAGAAGGATATGAGTAGAACTGAGGCATTATCATAGTCCACGGTTCAGACCCCATCTATTGTCCTCATGACAGGTGTCCATGAACAAATGTCTGCAAACCTCAATAAACTGAAGTGACTGTATAGAAGAGTACGGCAAAATGGCTCCACAAGTATGTGAAAGGTGATGAGAGGATACAAGCTACTGAATCATTGGATGTCATTAGTTTTTCACACACTGCTTATGCATTTTGTCTTTGTTAATTAAATCAATTATGACATAGTGTTAAACTTAATGTTCATCTCAAATTGTATTTACCTCATTTTAAAACCTGGTAAAAACTATACATAATTGTTTTATCACTCCCTTATAAAACCTTAGATTGATTTTCTTTTTACCATGACCTTAGGCTTTGCAAAATGTGCAGAAATGACTGCATTTGTTTGGTTGTTTGTTTTGTTGCTTTGTTTTGGGGTGTTTCACACATGGACCTGCAGAACTTTGATCCTCTTTGAAACCGTGCTCACAGTTAAAGATACTATCACTGACTAGAGTATCAGAAGGACTAATAAATTTTTTGCTAATTTTTAAATACAAATATAAATACGCTGCACAAAAATGAAAGAAACACCTTTTTAATCAGAGAATAGCATGTAATGAGTGAAACTTTGAGAACATGCGCCATCTGCTCCAGCCTGTCAAACATAAACAATCTTTCCTTTTAAGTACTTAGGAAATCCTTGAATTTATAAAAACAAAACAAAACTAACAAAAAAACCCAGGAAAAAAATCACTGTATTCAGTCATAATACTTTTTCTGACTATATAAATGCAGTAGACACATAAACTGTGATGTTTTAATCCAAAAACACACCTTTGTTAAAAGTTACCAGTTTATGTTATAGACACACTGTATTAGATTCACACATGTACACCTCCCTGTTTGGTGTGTATTCTTTGTGCTTTTTGCTCTGAAACTCTGATTGTAAAGGGTCTGTGAACAGATTGTGTGACAATAGCCACAGAAAATGGAATTTGACACACAAATGATCACCGCTCACACAGTGCATGTAAGACAGGTGGACACATACAGTTAGCCCATAAATATTTGGACAGACAACTTTTTTCTAATACTGGCTCTGTACATTTTAAATGAAGCAAATCAAATGCAGTTGAAGTGCAGACTTTCAGCTTTTATTCAGTGGGTTGATCAAAAATAAATATGAGGAAGTAAAGCATGTTTTAACTCAACCTCTTCATTTAAATATTGTCTACCTTACCTTGCAAGCTGCTTTTAAAGCACCTTGAGGTAACTGTTACTGTGATTTGGTGCTGTATAAATAAAATCAAATTGAATTTCAGGGGTTTGAAAGTAATTGGACAAATTCAATAACTGAAAATAAAATGTCTGTTTCCAATACTTGGTTGAAAAGCCTTTCCTGGCGTTGACAGCCTGAAGTCTTGAACTCATGGTTTCCTCCTTTTTAATGCTCTGCCAGGCTTTACTTCAGTGACTTTCGGTTGATGTTTGTTTGCGGCCCCGTCTGAAGCTTAGTCTTCAACAACTGAAATGCACACTCACTTAGTTTAAGATCAGGTGACTGCCTTGGCCATTCAAGAATATTCCACTTGCTTTAATAAACTCCTGGGTTGCTCTGGCTGTATGTTTGGGTCATTGTCCATCTGTA